GATACTCACCCTTTAAATATTTATAAACATGAATGAGGTCTCCCCTCAGTCTCCTCTTCTGCAAACTAAAGAGACCCAGCTCCCTCAGCTGCTCCTCATAAGGGAGATGCTCCACTCCCTCAATCATCTTTGTAGCCCTACGCTGGACTCTCTCCAGCAGTTCCCTGCCCTTCTTGAACTGAGGGGCCCAGAACTGGACACAATATTCCAGATGCGGTCTCACCAGGGCAGAGTAGAGGGGGAGGAGAACCTCTCGACCTACTAACCACCCCCCTCCTGATACACCCCAGGATGCTATTGGCCATCTTGACCATACCATCTTCGATTGGGTTGCCCATGTTTAGCAAACACAGCCCTGATTCTACAGTTGTGTTTTCCATCCTCATTCACTTTTGGGTTTGTTTTTGGCTTGGTTTGCCCACGGTGTCTTCCCTGTAAAAATAAGGGGTCTTACCCCCTCCTTTGAAAAGAGCAGCAAAACCCCTCATGCCTTCAGTGGGAGCACGACTGGGCCCAGTAGTGAGATCTGAGCAACATTTTGTACTGTAACAAGAACAGTCACTTCAGCCCTTCCTTTGTGCTGTTTGTCTTAAATGTCCAGTAAGTTAGACTCTGCATTACACATAGGAACAGGGCACAGCTGTCCCTGCTCCCCAAATGCCATTCCCCAGTATTGGAGTACTGCATACACTGTACAAAAACAAGCTGTGATTCTGCCTTGTAAGCTCTTCAGTATTTTCATTTAGTCAAAAGTATCTATCCAGATTTTTTAAACAGAAGCTTGATATATTAAATATCTATTTTTTTAATTTGTTGGTTTGGGTGGGGGTGGGCATTGCATGGAAACACTGGAGGGAGAGGAGTTCAAATACCACTGAGCCAGCCCTGCCACCAAAAATCTGTGTTTCCTTCCAACCACCTTCTGAAGGGAGACAGAAAAAAATGAGGCTAGCTAAAGGAAAGCAAATTAATTAATTTTCATTATCATCCTTTCTAAGTACCCATTAAAATGCATCTTTATTTCTCATTGTCATTATGCAGGCTTAGCATTTTTTTCTTACACACACACACACGTATGTATATATTTGAAGTGCTGTCTTAATTTAATGAGGTAGAGCTGTAAATAACTGGGTAGTAGCTGTTTGGGGAATCCTGTTCAGCTTCAGTCAATTTTTCAGCTACTGGGAGTCAGAAGTGCAAAATCCTTTGTTAGAAAACTCAGAAGCTGATTTCTTGTTTTCTTTTGCAGCTGGACTTGTAAATACAAAAAAAAAAATAAAGTAGGACTGATTTAATGTCCAATTTAACCTGGGCAGGTGCAAGCTCTCCCCATTTTTGTATGTACTGTAGATCAGTGTGTGTCTGTGTTCACTGTAGTGGGGTTTTGTCTGACAAGCCTGAAATTTATACTTTGAAATAAACTACTGGGTTTTTAACATTTTGAGTCATCTGTGCTTGATTCCAGCCATCTCAAGAGACAGCTCTTCCAAAAAGCTCAGTGTGTGCTCATGCTCTTCAGAAGTGGTGCCACCTTGCTCAAGTCATGCTGAGCAGCACTGGTTTGACTCTAGGTCATTCCCAGAAAGTCAACTGCGTGGTGCTGCCCTCTCCACCTTCTCACAGGAGCAAAAACCAAAAGCAAGGCTGAAACTTCTGAACAGTCCCCTTCCATGACAGAACCCAGCAACTCCCACCCCAAGGTTGCCCCAGAGGGGAGCAGGAA